AAGTCCATCTTCCGTGCCGGGGGCGACAGTCCCTCACAAGCACACGGTTGCCAGACCTGAATGTTGGCTTCCCTCCTGTCGGTGTTGATGAACATAAGTTTTCGATCGGCAGTGTTGAAAGGTGCAAGCGATCGATCCAGTCTATGCCCAGGAGATTAAGCTCACAAGCAGCAAGATAGACAATACCACAATCACGGTGGCCTGCTATCTCCATCTCACAATCAAATTCACCTAGTAGTTGAAGCTTACCACCTGAAGCATTTCTGGCAATGTTGATTGTCGGTCTTTGGTGTGGTGATCCGTTGTCCTGTTGTGTAACAGAACTCCACCGTTCTAGCCTCAGTCATACTTCGAAGTTTAGTAATTTGGTTTAGTAATCGCATTGATTGTCGGTCTGAGTTTTGGTGATCCGTTGTCCTGTTGTGTAACAGAACTCCACCGTTCTAGCCTCAGTCATACTTCGAAGTTTAGTACTTTGGTTTGCACGAGTAATCGCAATCGATTCACACAGTTTTCGCTCGATTTGAGTAACGTTGGCCCGACGGCTGAGACCGCTCAAACTGTGCTCCCCTTCGAGCTTCCCTTTATCACCATCCTCGATGAATTCGATTTGGCTAGGTAGAAGTAGGTTTTCATTTACACCACCCACTTCAAATCTTTGCTTTTCTGCGCACACCATTATCTGTGGTTCCTACCTCATACCTCTGTCGCCTACTTTAGCCCATCAGCCGCGACTTGTTAGATTCCTTCGAGCCGTAGAACATTTTTGTCTTCTCACGATTCGCATGACTGTCCTTTCTTGTCTGCCATGCATGCATACACAGTCACGGGTACGAATTAATTAACCCGGCTGTTGAATTTTAATTGTGTACATACACAGGCCACGTAACACCTTGGCTTTCTAGCTGCGTACCAACCGAAGGCCCAGTGAAGTAATCGTGATGTTGAATAGTCCTTAACTTATACGCGATTGTTTGGTTAGGCTAGATTTCGTCGCTATTTTCGACCAATTCCGGTAGCGCGGTATACCTCTGTCGCCTACTTTAGCCCATCAGCCGCGACTTGTTAGATTCCTTCGAGCCGTAGAACATTTTTGTCTTCTCACGATTCGCATGACTGTCCTTTCTTGTCTGCCATGCATGCATACACAGTCACGGGTACGAATTAATTAACCCGGGTGTTGAATTTTAATTGTGTACATACACAGGCCACGTAACACCTTGGCTTTCTAGCTGCGTACCAACCGAAGGCCCAGTGAAGTAATCGTGATGTTGAATAGTCCTTAACTTATACGCGATTGTTTGGTTAGGCTAGATTTCGTCGCTATTTTCGACCAATTCCGGTAGCGCGGTGATGGAATAAGTTTTGTTTTGATTTTTTTCAATATTATCAGCTTTGACGATTATAATGCACGAAATTTTGTCAAAATATGCGGGAAAAATCTGTAAATTGAAACGTTTAGCTGTGGATTGCTTTGTATACATGAAAAACTCGTGAGCTATTGTTTTCGTCATTGCATAGGCCAAAGCACAGACAAGTGGAATTTCAAACGTAGCTTTGAACTGCGGACATCTGCGGTATGCAAAGCTTTAGCTTACTTCAGAGTTTCCATTGAAAGGACCGTTCCGTTGTCTAATTGCTGTTCTCAAATGGTGTGTACACCGAGTTAGTTCTAGTTGTTAGCCCCAAGATAAGGTCCCGAGCCACCAACCGGAATGTCTTTGTTTGAGTTCTTCCCTCGCTCTTCGATTACTCCTATATGGGGTTGGATAGCCTCCAAGTATATCTTGTTTTTCCTTGGGGACGTCATGCACTGAAAAGATGCATTTCCGTTGAAACAAACCCCTTTTGTTAAGATGAAACCTTTGTAAATTTGTGTGTGCTTTCGAAACGTTTACAATGGTTCTTTGCCCCGAGAGGGAGAGACTGACCTTTCATACTATTGATCTAACCACTTGTAGCGTACGGGTTCTATAGAGAGATGGTGCGAAAGATTCAGCCCACGTAGGTCATGATCCCTTGACAGCTCAAGAGTTCCGACGCGAATTCTCCCTGATCTTGCAGCCGAACGTTTCTAGTTGATGCATGCAATCTTTCCATGTTTATCTACTATAGCTTAACCCACAGGTTCCCATGTGTTTCTCTGTCTTCTATAATTTACAGTACTGCACAAGACTAAACGAACAGATTTGTTGCTCTTCCATCAAGTCAATCCCTATAATCGAAATGTTCTCACCTAACCTATTCTGTTGTTCGGTTAAGTAGTACTCTGACTCCGTCTTTTTATTGACGAAGTTGATAGCTGTAATCCAGACCTATAGACGTAGTCTCCTAGTTCTCTGTGTATTGCTCGTAAGAGTTGTTCATTCTAATTCACCTCCTCTACTCACAGCTATGGATCAGCTTGCAGCAGACACGAAAGCTTTTGCAGAATCGTTGCTGCATTGCGTTCAGAAAGACTCACCGGAACATTTCCCCTTAATCGAGAACGGATTGTTCATCGCGGGGGAGATCCCACCGGAAGATGATGCAACTTGCTGCACATTGGCAAGTCGGCACGTACGGTGAGCAACATTAGACACGACCACAACTTTTCCTCCGTTTTTCCTTTCCTGGTATTTTTGGCTTTGAGGGTGTGATAACCGTGGAAGTAGTGAGATAAGAGTCATCTGTTCAGTGTATCGCCTGTAAATGCTGTGTTAAAGTCATGCCTGTCCATCTTCCACTGTTTGTTTGTTTTTACCAGAGTCAGAATTACGATGCCGCTGGCATTTCCTCGAACTCTTAGCGTAGTGTTTTTCGGTATCCCCATCCACTAACTGACTGTCTTCGGTTCGTTTATAATTTGTACGTGATTCTCTATTCGAAACAAACTATGTGACTTGTGGGGTGTGGCTAGCTTGTCTATCGATAGTCACCCGCTGCATCACCGCACTCGCACGGTTTCATGGCGGTACTTTGATGTCATCATCGGCAACCCCTTAGACCCCTTTGACGCATTTCGACTCTCCGGGTGTCCTAGTAATTTGGAATTATGTCACGATGTCGTGGTGCAGGTTAGGAGAAGAAAATCGCCTGAAATTTCCATCACTGAGTATTTAACACGAACAGGCAAGACGGGATGTTGTTGTTGCGCAGGGCAATGAGATTGACTGGACAACGAAAGCAGTGTGAGGTCGTGAAAACACGGTTGGTAAATGTTCTGGTCTGTACTTACAACGAGTACATGGGGTCGACATCACTGTGGAGAGAGGGTGAAAAAGAACAGGCAGATTCGGCTGAACGAAGCTGGAACAAGTGCGAAGGTACGTGCTTACTGCGGAGCCAACCAAGACATTCCGTGAGATTCCACCTGCATCTGAAGAACTACTCTGTTGGTCTGCCAGCAGGGAAGTGAATGTTCTCAAGGACTATCCGGAGTAAAATGGATAAACGACAAATCCGATTAGACAATAACAAAATTTCGAATATGATTGAAGTGAATAGATAGTATTTTTACTTCATTGCAGAAAACTAGGTATCGAACTCCGCTAAAGATCACTTGGATGTAGGATGACCAACTCAGGTCATTTGTTTGAGCCATGGCTAGATAATTCACAGTAGAAGTTACAAGAATAAGGAAATCGAAGAGAAGGAGGAATTGTGAGCTGCTGAGTAGGTCACGGTAAAGTTGACCGTAGGTGAAAGATTTCTAGGTGAGAAGATGTTCGCCTAACAACTAGCTAACAACTTCTTTCAGTACAGATTGTAATTACACGTTTGTGCCAGGTAAAAAGATATTCACAAGCAAACAATGTCTAGACTGAGTGAGGACATCACGTCCAGGCATGTCTTTTGCACGCAAAAAGGGAAATGGAAAAATTAGCACCTTGGGCGATACCACTGTTAATCAGCGAAGTGGAAATTCGGTTACCCATGCCTGTGAGGTGTGTGCGTTCTGTGAAGTGGCTATAAGTTAGCTTCGTCAGACTTCTAAACCGCCTGTGACGACAGTTAGCTGTGGCAGTCGTCTCTGTCAACACTGCGAATGGCACTGTTTTTGCCAGTGAGCAACAAGTGGAAGCCCTGACTTGGGTTTCCAGCAACACTGTGAACCAGATAGGCAACTATAGAGACTGACAATAGGCAAATTAGTGCGAGTCTTGGTCAAACAGTCTATCGAACGATTCAGAGACAATCTTCTAAACGGATTACAAACCATCGATCTATATGTTTTCATTCCTTTCTTCCGTACAGTTTTTAATCTTGGCAACTCGTAAACAGTCAGTTGTTTTTCAAATGGAAAGAAAGTTCATGAGCAGAGAAGATATTGATTCACTGGGGAGATTGGCAAACTTATTGGGAAATAAGAGTGGGGGTGATGGGGACCACAGACTTCCTGATTTTACTTGTCCCATGTTCTTTACACTTTCTCCGATGTTATGCGATCCGTGATGGGAAGTTCAATAGTTCCGGTAAGTTCAACTGGTGGGTTTGATAGGCCAGGAGACTGCTGATGTTATGCAGTTCGAGACCAGAGCGTGACTCTGATTATTCGCTTCACAGTTGCTTCAAGACCGTCCACATTTCACAGCAGTTTTTGCTGCGGAGGATCGCATCGACATTGATCTGATTGATAAGGTTGTTTGCTCACACAACATCAACCGTGATCTTTGCTTCTGATATACGTACCATCTTTCTCCTTAGCCACTTAAGGAATCTGTCCTAGATGTGGAAGGTTCAACGGTCGTTTGAGGGAGCCACAATGTGCATGATACCCAGAGAGGTCAGTGAGAAACGGTTAGACTTGTCTGAGTCACATAAAGGCTGATTAAAATAAGTTAGAACTGCTAGGGGAATGGATTAATTTAAATCTGTTAGTCCTCAAATTGGAGTAAAAATGTTGCTGGCGACAGTCGACCTGGTAATTATTTATGAACGAAGACTTGCATTCCAGAGTTAGGCAGCCCGCGCATTTTGCGTTGAGTAGGTGTTCAACAACAGCAACCTTTTTTCGTCCCTTCGGTGTGAAAGCTCACTGGTCAACAGATATGAAACGGATCATAGGGCGGCGTCCAGATATTAGTACAATCACCTTTCTTAGAGCATTTCATTGCCGTTATTTCTGTATTGTTTGCGAGAGAGAAGTTCAAATCTATCCTGTTATTGGGTAACCACCATCATTTGGTTGCTTTCCGGTCGTTTGCGCCTGAAATTTTTTGAACGCAACAACATATTTTTTTATTATGCCGTTCAACATGCTTAAGCAACACGCACTTCCTTCGACTTCTCAAGGCATGAAGAGCTCTAGTGTGGCATATCCTGGTGGCGTTAAGCCCAAATATCAAAACTGCCAAGGCATGACGAAAACAGACACCAAATGCGAGACACCCCCCACGACGCCACACAGAGTACACATTTGCACATTATTCAGATTTCACAGACACAAATCCAAGAAGATGAACAAACAGAGTGTGGTTCAGCGCTCCGGGACACATACGTGGCAGTGACACGTGGTTACATCTCAGTAAAACAAGCGAACTCAGACCGACATTTTTGGAGTGTCTTTGACAAGTTCAGCTCCGCCGTGGCCTGGAAGGATAAATATGAAGAATATTAGTGGTCAGCTAAGGCAGTCTTACTAGTTTCAAAAGGGTTACATCCACATGCGCTCCGGAGAACGAGCGCACCGCCACCTGTCCATGGAAGTTCTACAGTGTTATTACTAGTTTCAATAGGGTTACATCCACATTCGCTCCGGAGAACCAGCGCACCACCACCTGTCTACAGTGTTTTCAACACCAGATAAATCAGCAACGTCGTCCGGCAGGTTCGTTGGTTTTCGTTAGTCCTAGGGCATGGTTACGGCGTTTATCATCCGCCAGCCAACGAGACTCACATAAACGCGAACGCAGCATTGTTGAATACCTAATCAACGACTCAACGCTACTCTACTCCGTACTGATGACCTCGCCTCGATTGGTGGCAGGGCGTTTGCAACTTCAGTGAGCTGGACACCGGCTATTTGTTGTGGGCTGCGTTCAACCGCAAACGGACTTACTCATATTCTCTTACCTTATTTTGGGTAAGCCGAATTCGATTGATTCCGCTTCATCTACCAAGCACAGTGAGGTTGTATTGTAGATGCTCTCGATCTACTGCGTTTCCTCCCAGCATGAAGGACCCGCGAAGAACTCCAGAGTGTTTTGTCGCCGGAAGTTTCTCATAGAGTGTTTATGATCTGTTCACAATGCGAGTGGCCGGGAACTGTGGAGACATTCTATTTTATTGACGGACGGTCTAGATGACAGTTTTTTATGGAAAATGAGTGCAGTGCATGCAGATTTGGTGAGGGAACATTGAGTCATTACTGGGCTTCCGCCAACCACGTTGGGTTCGGACACATTTGCGCTCCGGGTAAGAGTGGTTACTTGAACAGCATCCTGGATGATGTATGTAGACCGCAACTGATAGACTTCAATCTGTCAGAATAGTCCGACCAGCTACTGGATACATGGTCACCACTCACCGTTTAATGCTGCCAAATCGGACAATGTCCCGAAAAGTCAGTCAGGGTTGTCACCTGATCTCTAACCCGGTATACAGACTTTTTCCGTCTCACTAATGGTGTGGTCGGGGCTCAAATTCTCATCCACCGCTAACCATTACTCTTTTGTTTCAAGTCTGACCAGAGCTTCACACAAAATTCTATGTTGATCGCACACCAACTTGTTGCACAACGTCCAAGGTGGCCAGACAGATATAGGCACAACGTTAATTAGTGGAGAACACGTTCATTCCTCATTAGCTGTCTCGGTGAGAATTCGCCTTTGTCTGACAGTTTGCCAGCAGTTCCAAACGCGTGGTCTGCCACGTGTCAGTCACGACCCGCGTGTACATTGTGCACTCTTTTTCTGTTTAGTTTGATATGCTTGGGTTCACCCAAACCTTCACCCTTTGTAAGTGCCCGCACAGATGGGTCACATGGGACACGTCGCGATGTGCCCACGGTAGACAGTATTCTGTACCAGGTGTTATAATCAGGGGCTTCCCTTTACTTTACACTGGATCATACACAATTAACTCTTTACAACAACAAACTTTGTACTCAATCTGAAACGGTCGTCGTAGCGAGGTGATCACTGTAGAGTGGTTCCTTATTCACTAAGTTCTACGCCTCCAGCGATAATAGCGAATTCGTACCCATGTCACCTTCATGACAGCCAACTAAAGCGTTGTTCATCCGAAATTAAAAGGTATGATAGGGTTTCGTACGTTTCGGTTAGGTGGATTTTCAGCGCACCCCTTACAGTCTATCTCTCTAAAACGGTCGTTTTGGTGTTCATTGTAGGGAGGTTTTATTGTGATTGGACTCGGTATCCTGATTCCCAGGTATGAACTCTTTCATTTTGCCTTTGAAACGCATCACGCCACTGTCGTTTCTTATCCGTTCGCCAAAGGTGCGGAGCAAAAACACTCATTCCTTTATGATCGGTGTTGGTCGGCATACCTCTGTTCGTATGCCAGCATACCTGCCATATCATTAAGAATTTTGTCTTCACAGCATTGGCACACTGCTTTATTTGTTGAAATGTACATCTTTTGCAGTGAAAGAGAATGTTGGTAGCTGACAGCTCACTGGATGATGTCATCTCGACTGGTGATGAAACCAGTCCAGTCAACGCACTCATCAGTTTTCCAGCGACTGATGTTTAGAAGATCCCGACTGATACACTGTGATTCGACATGAGCGAATACAGTGAAAGATTTAGGTATGGGGGAAGGAGGCCAACTAACCTGTCACTGAAATTATCCTGCTGCCTTTTATCCTGTGTGATATTTTTGACGAACATACCAACAGATGGTATTTTGGATCCTCGGTCTTGTGAGCGAATTATGGTAGCTTCTGTTCATTCTGTATTTTCGTAGTCCTCTGTTTCTTAAACTTCTTTCACCATCACCCGTCTTCTTCCATACACCGAACCTTTATGTAAACCAACGTCCGAAGGTTTACAGTGTTAGTGACTTTCGAGATCCAGTTATTCCTATGTAACCGCTCAGAAACGTCACAGACATAATTTCCGGTGTCACATTACCGGAATAATTTAATGCAAGTCTGTGCGAATCCCCAATGGTCAGCAATGGAGAGTCGGATCTCTCCATCGACAGTTAATAGCGATGATACCAACTTAACTTCATCGTTACGCAGCAGAATGTCAGGTAGCACAACGGTACTAGTTGCATCTAAACCCAGTGCTACTGGGAAACATTCGTTCAGCGGTAGCAACATTCCGGTGTCCATCTGTCATGCCACGCGGGAGAAGCACGAGGGCCTGGATACTGTCAGGTTGCCTAAACTTAGACAGAGGAAGTCGAGATGCCAAGGTTGGGTTCGAACCACGGTCCCTCCGATCAGTAAATTTGCGCTCTAACCACTGAGCCATCTCGCCCATTGTTTGGTACAAGGTTTCAAAATGCCATCCCCATTACGTTCGAGCTTCTTGCTCACCCGACTAGACAATGAACTGAGATGCTCTGTGTGTGTGTGTATGTGCGTGTGTTGTGTTGATACCTGAACGAGATGGTGATTAGTTCTCGGTGGAAAGTGTCTCCCACTAAAATGGAGTATTAATTGTTTACTACATAAGTGGCATCATAAACAAAGCTATTATTATTTCGACTAATTCGATTCATGAACTTGGGCAGTCGGAGATACATATTCTATACATATTCCATAGATATCCAGTCCAGTTCGCGAAGTGACGGCTATACCAGCGTGCAATCGCCGCAGCAGGCCCTGTACATAACCTTCGCATGTGATTTCTGGTTAGTATCGTATGTATTTGTGGTATATTAGTCAAGCAAAGCAATCTTTTTCGCTGCTTTTATTCGACCTCGAGACAGTTCAGTGGTTAGGGCCAGAAATCGCTGACCGGAAGGTCCGTGGCTCGAATCCAACCCGGCCATCTTGACTGCTCCTTTCTAGGCTTGAGCAACCGGGTGGCATCTCGGTCATCATGTTTCTTTCGGGTGGCATGGCAGCTATGCGCCGAAAAGCGCTACTGCCAGAACGGTATTATCGTTCCTTAATATCTTCATTCTTCTCATGACTCGTTTGTATCCTCAATTAACATATGCTTAGGGCTCACACAAGGGTAGCTTACTTTATATGGTACATATTAATGCGAGCGACTGGGACAGTAGCACAGTGGATGAATAGCGAAGTATCGAATGGAAGCGGTCGAGTTCCCTGGCTATCTGACTATAGCCAGGGTCCATGAGAGTTATCATTGTATATGGCAGTATAGGTTCTAGGTGGAGAGCAAAACTTAGAAAACTAGTATGTTTGCCTGCCCGGCGACGCCCGATGTGGCATGAAGGTACATTTGTTTGTTTTGTTATGGCTGTGTATGGGCTGAGATACTGCTGAGTCATCCCAACGAGGACAATTAAGGTCCTGAGTCTAAGTCTTTACTTCCAGTGTTTTAGCTAAAGGCATTGGCTGTGGACATAAGACTACCAAAGTGGCCCAATTTTTTGACAAACGAGTTGTCACAGACGTTCCAACCACCAAGGTTGTGTTTGTTAGATTCATACCCACTAACCAACCTGGCAGGGAACTGTCAATGCTCAACTGGTTGCCCAACTACCTAAACCAGGTCGAGTTCTTCTTCAACATAAGATCACCAGTCGTGCGAAGAATGTACAACACTCAATTTTTCTACACTCGTAGTCTATCCAGTAACAAGTCCTACTGTTTATCCAATGTGATTGAAGCTAATATCCGAACGGTTGACTGATTGGAAAATAATCTCTTTAGGAAGTTTAGCTTCTCGAAACCTCTCCTAACACACACACACACTTCAGCAAGGAACGAATTGAGTGATTGTCTGTATTACGCTCTTGGTACGACACTCACGGGAACCCTGGAGCCACCTAGGGAGCTTTCACCAATACGGAATCCGGGTTGACTTGCGGCTTTGCGATGTATATCTAGGGATTTTAGACTCTGGACTCAGACCACCGTTGATATGTGGCTTCTTCAGTAAAGGACATTTAGGTTGCATTGCTTCGGTACCTCAGGACCATGGTCAGTTGCACACAGAGTTTTGGTAGCGATGACGTCAATTTAGAAGCGCCCTACGGTTTTTGACGTGATTTTTTATGCAATAGTTGCCAAACGGAATCCGTTGGCCTATGAGTGGTGTATATTCTGACAGAAGACTAAGAAGTCATAACTTAATTTGAAATGTTTCCGAAATTAACGATTACATGTGAATAACTGCTTGTTTCCTCTCGTAATTCGCCTACTTAATCTCCCACACATTATATCTCTATGTCCTCAGTTTCTCTAAGTTGGACCCTTGGGCAAGAGACTTCCATCCTGCAGCTCCGTGGTCTTCCACCACGGAAAATGGAATCCCCGTGAAATCCACCGCCGACGTCGGAACCCTGACCAGCCCAGCAGATACCGCGTCTTCGGACTCAGTGGCCCCAGGCTCAACAAATGACTCGTGTGTGGCCAACTCGAAGGCGATTTTACAACCCGTTCACACCACCAATCTGTCCTCGTGTGGACTGAATAGAGAAGAGGACACACTGACTCAATCGGGACATGATGATCTGTTCGGTTCTTCAAGTTATTTCGACCATTCACACTCTTGTTCAACTGGATCTAATGTTCCCCATAACTTCTTCTACGAGTTGCCTCAAATCACACAGGCCAGACGTCAAATAATGCTGGAACATGAAGATAGAACGCAAGTGAACGTTGCCAAATGGTACAATCTTTCGGGACTGAAAAGTCCTAGCAGTTATCAAAATGAATCGGAAGAGTTGGGATCTGTTTCATCCCTTATCACGACCAACGCTGTTATTCCTAGCACAACCACCCTGCCTAGCGAAACGACATCTGTGCAACAGCGGGGTCCTCGCAATGAGTCCTCTGGTTCTGTTGGTGATGTTTTCGAGGACTGTCATACATCAGCACCTCTGACCTCTCCTCCTCCACTCCGGTCAGATGCACTCCGTCGGGTCGACGATGGATTGTGTGATAGTTCAACGTTTCGCACATGGGAGCCATTAAATGCCATTCCAACAAAAGAACTTTTGCGTGAACTCAATGTAAGTCAAAATCTGGTCTGTATTGTGTGTGTTTCTTACGGGCGTACTTTTACTGGCAACTGTGACCAGCATCGCTCCATAATAGCCCTTTGTTAACGCGTCTGTGTACCAGATGTGTCTGTTTAGGTCGCTGTCTTTTGTACTATGTTCACCGTTGCCTGGTTGTCAGTCATACTTAGATATCGGGCCAATTCAGAAGCATGGGCTGAATTAACCTCAGTTGTCCTTGCGCGTACCCTTTCGATTCTCAAGGGTTAGCTCAACAAAACTGCCTAATTGCTGACCGATCCATTTCCGATTGGAGGCGAGGTAGCTCAGTGGTTAGAGTGCGAATTTACTAACCGAAGGGTCCGTGGTTCGAACCAGACCTCTGCATCTCGATTTTCCCTGTCTAGGCTTGGGCGACCCGGTAGTATCCCAGACCTCGTGCGTCCTGGTGGCAGGGCAGCTAGGCACTGAAAGGGTGCTACAGCTGATCGGTTGAATCACTCTCCATCTTTCACATTCTACGCTACAAATTTGCAGAGCATCCATCCATCCTTTCTTGAGCTGATTCATGTTTATTTCAAGTCGCTCCAATCCCATGTTTACCGCTAACTGCAGTGATTGCATGACTTATTTTCGTTGCCATACTCCATTGGTGAAGGATTCCGGCGGCAATCTTCGTGACAGGGTGGATCTCACTTTTTTTAGACACTGCGAAAAGCCAAAAACATAGAGCTCACTGAATGGCGGCTGTAGAGCAAAAATCTTGAAAAAATGCAGATTTCCTATTGTTACATCCGATTAAGTCCAATCGTTGTTATGGAATTCAATCAGTCTAGCAGAAATTCTGAGTTCCAGACTATATTTTAAATAATAAAGTGGTTTTGCTCAAAATAATATAACGTCTTACTGATGTCTGATAATGATACCGTTGCTTTTGATGGTCATGATTTGTTTCATATGGACTGTTCGCTTAAAGTCTTCAGCAGACGCGACATTATCTTCACACACTTTACTGGGGAATGGTGCTGTTACACAAACGTTTCATCTTGAAGTGTACTCAGGACATGCCAGCTGTACAGTCGCAGTATACAAACCTAAGGGACTACTACCACTGTATCTTGTTTGCAGACGTATATATTGCTTCCAGTATCCCATCATTCTGTTAATCCAGCCCTTTGGCACACTGATCATCTAGTCCGCCAGCCGAATTCTTGTTTCCCCCTGTTTTACCATTTTGAAACAGTCTGCTGACTTTATTCCTTGCTGAAGTAGCGCGAGCGAAGAAGAATAAAAGCCGCATTCAAGATTGGGCAATTGAACACTGAAAATAACTTCCGACGGCATGTTGTTCAGTAACCAGACCCAGGAGCTCTGTACTAACTGGTTCAAGATTTTTTCAAGGAGCACTGACCTAGACAGTGTCGGTCAAGAATTTACCGATCTGTGGATCTGTCTGTAACACAAGCGGAACTGTTTCCACTGACACTTCAAGAATAAGTGCAGGAAATAATGTCCTGGCTCGATGTCATGCGTTGCAGTTTTTATGCTTGTTCTTGGCTTGTTTTTCCACTCACTATGATGTATCACTGGGCACGGCCTTTTAAGAGGAGAAAAAGGGACATCCTACAGCTGTGTTTTGAAGGTATCACAGAGTCTTCTACAATGTCAAGCTAGGATCTTCATGATGGGGCGATAAGCGCCGAGCTAAAATCCTCGACCTGATTGGCTTGCTGACTTCTTTTTTGTGACGCATCCATCCAATCGATGTTATACCCGATTATTTCGAACACTCAGTGGATGAGTTACCGGCGTACAGGTCACTGACTGCTGGAAGACGATCAACATAACTCATGTTTGCATATCTTGAAATTATTTAAAACCATAGCTTTATTGATACTAGACTCCAGTCAAATAGATGAAGATTCATACAGGTTTGCTTATCGAAATTCTCGCCGTACAATGGATGACCTTACATATCTTCTGCATTCGGTTTCTCCACCGCCCTACAGATGCACCACAACCTGGTGTTTAGTATTACTAGTGTATGCGAATATTACGGAATTATCAGTCACATTGCTTTGTAACGTGATGTTTCACTGCGACCTGCATGTTCCTGATTATCCTTACCGATTTAAGTGCACCGATGGTATTTTCGTTGGTCGTGGCTATCACATTTCAAAAACTCGCATCGAATTACAAACTCCTTCAAGTGTCAGAGGTTGCACCAGCTAATGTTCGGTGTCTTCAGTGCGTCCTAGATGTGCAGCTTGGTCTCTAGTTACAGTATCGGGTTCCCTCACATCAGTTTCTTGAGTTTGCCAAAGGCCACCCTGGCCTGGGCAACAACTGGATCTTAGGCACACTCGACGGTCGGGTCAGTAGACTGTGTGCTTCCAAGGATGAAAAATTGCACAAACTCCGTTCCCGTCTTGATGCGCGGAAGAGTTTTGGTGACTGGCAGAACAGGAACCTTCGAGTTGACGCGCGAGTGAAACCGTGCAGCAGCAGTCACAGACTTCACGGCCAGGTGCTGGTTTTCATCTTGCGTATGTGTGAACAGTACAAAGGCATCTACAGCCTCGTCGTAAATGGAAGCAGCATCCACGATGACCCTTAGATGGAGAGTGAAGAGGACGGTGAAATTGAGGCATCTCCGTTTCACACCACTGAGGATGTGAAATCATTTGGAGTCGGTCCGTCCCTTTGCACCGTGGCTTTCATTCTGTCATGTACACTTTAGATGACGTATTCAAAACTAATCCGCCTGGCAGGGCCGAACACCATTGTGAGAGGGTATCCAGCGACCGGTGGTGTTTGCGGGACTTTTGTTGAAGCCTTGTGCAGCAAATGTCACTTCCATTCGGTACGATAGCCATGGAAGCCACACTATCCTTCGGGACTGTGCTCCGCTCATTTCAACCGCCGCATAGATGTGACTATCTAGCGGTGTATTGCGGTCCGAGGCGAAATCTTGTATTGGTGATAGCACAAAATGTAAAAAGTCGGTCACTGTTGACCCTTACAATCCCGAAACCGATAACACCTGATCACAAAGTATTATCCCAAATGCCTTTTATAAGTTCCCTCCCTCACGAGTGGAAAGACAGCGGGAGCTCCTACTGAATAGTATATATGGTTATTTCAACTGTTGGTTACTTTTAAGCTCCCGGTGATCTCACTGCGCCGGCCGAATAACCATTGACTCAGGATCTACCTGAATGGCCCAGTACGCAAGGCCAGCACATATGGAGACACTGATCCTAGTGGAGTGATGACAGATGCCCATAGATTGACAACGTGATGGCAAATGTCATTAGCTTTCCTGATGGCACAAAATCTAGGCCTATGCTAAAGTGTTTTAGAACAGCTCGACCTTTCAGCTGGAACTCTGATTGGTGTCTTTTGAGTCACATGACAGCTATTGACTAGTACATTACGGTTTTTCCGGCCAAGCAAATAGTGTGTGAATTGTGCGGGTTGTGTTGTTGAAACAGGACGAATTTTCGTCATCCTTATCTTTGACAGTACATCTTCGCTGGTTCGAAGACACGTGTCCTAGTCTGAATGTTGCATCTGATGTGGCCAAACCTGTCTCATCAGAACCTTACCCATTGTGTGAGCGTTCCCCTATAAAGTACTTTCCCCGTCTAGCTAGCCTTTAGTGTGACCGCATGGCTGGTTTTTTGTCGAGCTCCATCCTCCGGTGCATAGTGCTTTTCTTGATCTGAGTTGAAATTGGATCGAATGCACTTGACTTTTTGAAGTCGTACTAGACGGAAAGTACTGTGCCAACACTTATCCGTCTCCCTATGCTCGTTTAGCAAGATCGACGCCACATCCACACAGTGATCGGTCTAACTCTAGTCCAGAATTTCACTTTCTGAAACGACTGTACTATTAGACTTCTTTCATGTGTCAAGTGAATCCCTTATAGTTTCAGTTATCTGATAGTTTACACCACCCAAACATTCTGAGACCTACCGTAAACCTAACTTTGTTGTTTTCATAAAGGAAACTACTCACAAGGTTGCTGAAAACTCTGACAGCCCACCTTGTGAGTAGTTTCCTGCGAAACCGGTCGTGCGCTGTCAAAGTGATTTCATCAAACTTGTGAGCATTTTCCTTTATGAAAAGTGTTATACTTCGATATCTCGAATATCGTGCCAACTGAATCATGGGGCGGCCTGTGTGCAGCGCATTCAGCTGGAGAACATGATAAACGAGAGATTCAATTGAGTCTCCCGTGCAAACCAAATTGATTTGCAGATGAGTGTATTTCTCGAAAAACAGTGCAATTTGGGTTCAAGTAGATCGTAAGGTTGACGGAAACTCGGGGACTGCGCCTACCTGATGAGCACCAAGAAGGACGAAAGCGGTCGTGTGCTGTCAAACAGTTTTCAGCAACCTTGTGAGTGGTTTCCTTTATGAAAAGAGATATACTTCGATATCTCGAATATCGTGCCAACTGAATCCTGGGGCGGCCTGTGTGCAGCACATTCAGCTGGAGAACATCATAAACGAGAGATTCAATTGAGTCTCCCGTGAAAACCAAATTGATTTGCAGATGAGTGTATTTCTCGATAACTTTGTTGTTCTTCGCTCGCAAATCATCTTGCTTGGCAGGTACGCTAATCATTCTATCCTTTTTTTCAGTTGGACGAAACAGACCAACTCTTATCTTTCGGGCCGTCGTTTTCCTACCACGACTGGAAAACATGGGATCAGCCAGCTGATATCCAATCAGCTCAGAATCCTTGGACAGCAGAACCAGACGCAGGACCTCGTGTGTGAGCAGCCAACAACGCAGTTTAGCACAACACCCTGAGAATCCTCTTCCCTACCTGTCAAACCCACGCCACCCCTACTTTTTATTTCCCCACCTTTTACCCAACCACACTTCAGATGAGATAAATTTGCTGCCTTAGTTATTTTTCCAAGCTTTCGGACGGAATCCGGCCGGGTCTAACTGTTAGACCCGGTCGCTGATTCCGTCGCCCAGTCAGTTATCCCAGATGTGTGTAGTGGCGGATCGTGTTTGTTCGTTTGTTCGAAAGTCAGAAATAAAGTCTCAACCGAACGTGGGTGTATCTTCAGCTCGAACCGCGGGTTGGGTGGTCCTCGTTTGGCTAGACTCGGAGCCGTCCTCTCGGTTTGGCAACGTGGCTTATCAAATGTAGTCTTAATTTCAACATCTGTCCAATCGTCAGAAGACGCGGAATCTATGGACGTTGGACGGGAATCTTCAAACTAGGTTTTGCGAGTTTAGTTCGTCTAACCCGTAGCCGTTTGGATTCAGAACTAAGATCTTCGTGTTTTTTTCTTCAATTTGAACCAGCTTACACAGAGAGATGCATCTTACAAAGTTGTTTAAGAGTAGTAATCACAATGGGCAGTGATGGGCGAGTAGCATTACACACACGCACATTCTCTCATTATCTCGAACGGACTCAACAAGCCCATCTGATCCGGCGATTCATATCGATCAGATCTGTCGCAATGTAGCATGCTAACTACTCAAAGGAAGTTGATTCATCCACTGATATGTCGAGTACCTCACAGCCTGGTCGATGATGCATCGATCATATCTTCACCTTGAGACAAATTTCTGAGCAGCGCCACTCATTTAGACGTCCCACATTGGTCGTTTTTTCTATCTAAAGGCTGCTTTTGACAATGCTGATTGTCAGAAACTTTGGAGGTGATGACGACCAAAGGAATTCCTTCCAAATTTATATCCCTTATGAGTGCAGTGTATGCGAACTCCTGTGGGCGTGTCCGAGTGCATGGCAAGCTTTCGCGATGTCCAATGGTGTAAGACAATGGTGCCCTCTCTCACTTTTCCTCAACTTTGTTATTGATGTGCTGCTTGAAATTTGTCTGCCTGCCTCCGAAACCTCGGGTGTCGTCCCGGGACATCCGCCCGCAGAATTTGGGTATGCAGACAATATTGCTCTCCTTGGTTCAGATCCTTCAAGAATACAAACCATTTTAAATAAATCTGACGCAGGGTTTGGCATGCACTTCATACCTGCAAAGTGTAAAGTGGTGTTACAAGACTGGGTTGTAGCAAACCCAAGCTTCATACTTGCAGACGAGCCGATCGACGTGGTAGGTAACTTTGTTTGTCTGAGCAGTTATATAGGTTCCGGTGAACCGGCTGCAGATAAGATCACTTCTCGAATCAGGAAAGCCAGGACAACTCTTACCATCCTCAGACACCTATGACGCAGACGTGACGTCAGTTTGTCTGTCAACGACATAGTTTGCACTGCGGCAGCGCGATCTATACTGTTTTATGGATCAGAGACGTGACCTCTACGTGCAGAGGTCAGTGTTTGATCATCGGTGTCTCGCAAGCATTAGTCGAGTCTGGTGGGAACATCGGATTAGTAATGTCGAACTACACCAGATGGTCTCATGAAGAAGGAAATATCCCGCGATAGATGAGTTACTCACGCTCCATAGGTTACGCTGCTTAGGATGTGTACTTCGCATGTCAGAAGCCGGACTGTCTCGCATGGCCCTTTTCGCCCAGCCCTGTGCTGAGCGGAAACGACCAAGAGGTGGACCACGAAGTATGCTAACATACCAGTAGATTGAGTCGAGTCGACAACTGGCATCTCCCTAGATGGGGACTCGATCCATCCATGGTTAATGTCACTGACAGAAATGGCTCAATCGCGCCGCCCGTGGCACTCATGCATCAAAGCTATCATTTTCAATGAGTAACTACTCGATCCCCGAACTAGCTGGACGTCGCCTCCAAGGCCTGGCTGTATGTGCCACACTTCCACTTTCTGGTGATGGAAACTCTAGCAGCTGGAACCATTACGCCTATGGTACACGGCTTATAGCTGATAAATTGATTGATTGACAGGTCGCCAGTGGTTGCACGGTCGCCCAAGCCTAGATAGGAGGACAATTGTTGTCCTCAACCACAGCCTTCGCTCGAAAGTCTGACCACAAGACGGACGTTAAGACCGCTCGCGTTGCCCCACATTTTAAGGGGCAAATGGCCACTCTTCCAGCTTTTAGCCTGGAAGGCCAGAAAAGTGTGTTTCTCGGATCTCTGCCCATTGACCAACCCGTTAGGGAAGACCCTGCAGCATAGCTCAGCGGTTTACGAGCTGCTAAAATTTCCTATACGCGAACTGTCGTACCAAGTTTAGGATAAAAATCCGTCGCAAGTGAAACATGAGATGGTTCAGCTAAAGTGCGCACAACTGGTCTTTGGATCTGTTGCAGAGCCAGTCGAATCACAACACCTCATCTGTAACTGACACGAGATTTTCCTCGTGTACATTGTACCAGCCAAGTTGGACAGCGAGCATTGTCCAATGGATAATTTCATATCCAAGCTTTGCACTGCGGTAGCGACTCCATACTAACAGCGGATGACGATTATTGCACGGTCGATTGCATTTCGTGCGTAGCTTTCCACCGATCTCAGATCAATATTCGGAATTCCCTTATAAGCTGAGCAGCATAAACTGCGAAAAGGTTCAGCTGTGACAGCCTTTTGGGGTACGAACAACAACGATGGAAGCAGAAATGATAAGATATAGAGAGATTGCCTAAGCCTGGAAAACAGTCGGGGTTGGGCTCAAACTACGGTCATCTTTACGCCTTAATGCAATATAACCCGCCTTAACCTCTGCATTTCGTTCATATGCGTTTGTACTAATGAGGAAAGGGCGTGTATCTTTAATCCATTGGCCTGATCTCAAATTGAGAAATTAAGGTTCCCCCACCTAACCACCCGCTTTTGAGCATATCAAGATCACACGTAGCGCTTGGGTCATATGCTGAGGTGCGCACAGTTTTGGCCACGGACTAAACCGTAAATGAAGAGACCATCGGTTGAGTAGCGGTTACATTCAAGAGCGGATGAGAGATAGGATCTTAGACCTCTAATTTGAGAAGCCGGAATTTCACACTAAGTTGCGCCTGATGTGAAACGCCACAGCTATCTCTCTTGGAGATGGCTTTCGAGCTGCCTTACAATATGGTTGACAACGAAAATCGTCCACTGGAACTTTCGGCCCAATCTGGAACTCATCCACGACAGCCACGTGTTTGAAGCAACATCAGACTGCTTTGTAATAAAGAGAAAAGAGGAACGAACGAATGTAATCTGACTCAAAACCCTCCCTCTTGACTTCATTGGTGAGACAGAAACTAAAAGGGTAGCTTTGTGACGTCCTCCTGCATCGACAGTATATTACAGACTTCGTTTAACACACCGACTGCCAGGCTTTAGTCTGGATGTTATAGCACCGTTATTTTCGACTCGAATCTAAATCTGGAATGTTGGATGGCTGCTTCTTATCCATAATTAAGAGGTGTAACCATCGGCCAGAACTTAGAGGAAAGCAGCGTGCAATCTGCATCAAATTCCAAATCTCTTTAAGCAGGATAACGGGAATCACCGGGGAGACCCCATCTATACGAGACTGTGATAACGAGACGCGCCAGATCTTCATGTCCAGCTCCAGTAAGGTCAGCAGAGAACATGGCTAAAAGACATATATTCGATATTATTAGAAGAGATGGGATCACTAAGTATAGCCTGAAAACCAGTAAAAAGAACTCCCCCTTGCTGGGGGCTCCCAAATGAAATTGCCCTACGTGGCACGTCAGCCATGTTTACAATCGTGTCTACCTGACTCGAATCTTCAAACTGCCCGGCAGTGTTTCGTTGTTCTTATGGATAGGATGAAGGATACTTTGTTATTTAGGCATGACATTTGCAGCACCGAATCACCAGACAATGACCAACTGGACAGAGGTCCCGAAAGGACACCGAGCTGTTAGCATGTTTTGTCCGGTGACCAGGCGTAGCACCCCTCTGAAATTTTTACATGCACGCCTATAGGGACTGAAAAACAAATGGTCAGAGGAGCAGCCCAAGTGTTACCAGTAGCCCAATCCACCAAGTCATTAAATGTTTCCGTTTTATTGTAGCTCAGTGTTCGGGTACGGTGTTCATCATAGTCAGGTGACTGACTAGTGGATGAAATCATTTGGAGAGAGCACTCAGGGTGGGTTGGACAAAAAATCAAAGACTATCCGCAAGTTTCGGTCAACCACCAGGGTCCCGGATGCAAAAAACAACACAATTTCGACACGAGAACCAACGAGATCACACTACCCTAGACACAAAAAAAACATGTATTCGTGATTGTACAGAACTGGAGAAAAAAGCTGTGGCTCGTGGTATGAGAGGGAATAGTAGTCGTAGTAATGTTGTTCTGACAGTACACGGACGATACCAGTGAGATTTTGCTTCAAACTGATCCTCACTGCTGTCGACCCGCGTTGTATGAGCTGTGGATCTGATTCTTTGGATTCTCAGGGGCAGTCTGAAACTTCTTGAATATCATTTGCTTTAGCTGGGAAATTCTCAGACCCGGATTCTCCTCACGAAGTATCGGCAACATCTTCTCTTCGTAAGCAGAGTAGGCAGCTTTTAGTCTGCGCTCAGGGTGACGGTCCAGGTCCGCCGTGGAGTCGTCATCCACACTGGAGGTAGGAATGAAAAACAGACATGCAGGTGAGACAGCCAGGGTCACAGCGGGACAACCAACAACGAGGAAAAAGTATGTGATTTTGACGAGAGATCCAACCGAAACCCAGCTAGATCTCTCATTCATGAGAGAAATTACATCTGTCGTGACTACATTTGGCCTGATAAGGCAAATTCAGTTGGAAATCGCAAATGAGGGATTCAGCTGGATTGAAGGTGAGTCTCGTGTGAAAATCAAGTTGATGTCCAAATGGGTGTGTTCGTCGGACTTTGTGCAGTTTGGGTTCAAACAGAACATGGGGTTCAAGGAAAACTTCACGGCGCTCCAGTTGCTAGCAGTTTTAACTCGACTTACCAGGAACTGGAGGCCGTAACCTAATCGCTCCATTGATATTGAATTGTTCTGGTTGCCTGAGGGCAATAGCCTTGATTCAGGGTCGTCACTGGATGACCCGTCTGTCGTTGCACTAATGTTGGTATGTCTAAGTAAAAAAAATCGTCCAGTTGTAGCACCCTTTTGGTACATAGCTGCGATGCCACCCTAAGAAAGCACGAGGGTTGAGATGCTGCCAGGTTGCCCAAACCGAGAGGCAGAGGTCGGGTTCGAACCACAGACCTTTCGGACAGTAAATTCTCGCTCTTACCGCTGAGCCATCTCGTCCCGTATGTCTTATTCCGGGCTCATCGGTATTGAAGGTCACCGTTGCCAACCCGACCGAGTTGACACTTTGTCCACCTTTTTGGTCGTTTCCACTCAGCACAGGGCCGGTAAGACAGTTCTCTATCAGGCCCAATCTACGGGGAACGATGACAGCCATTCGGCGTATTTCAGTACAGCGAATCCAACAATCTCAACCAACCCGGAAGGTGAGTAGGACACATCAACACCGAAATTCTCCTGTACGTAGAGGTAAATCTCAGATCAATTAAGCACAACCGATCGCGCGCTACTCTGTCTATGACTGTGGCCATTTGCCTTCTCAGGTCGTGTGTCTCCTGACAATAACTTGCGCGTTCCATTCGAATGCGATTTGACATCAGCCACGGACGTGTAGTATTTTAGGCTGCCGCCTCCATCGTGTGACGTCTCCGTTACAATATGTATATGAACAAAATGATGACAACCCAACCCAGTGTATGCCACATTCAGGAGGATGAGGGATCACGAATGAATGACTTCTACGATTAGCGTGAATAATGACAAGCAAGATACGGTGGGTTCATCTGATACACCATTATCTAACCACAAAGTGAAGAGTGATAACCCTGAATCCAGAGATAGAATTTGAAACTACCGTATACAGAAGGCTCGTAGACGCGCACCTACCTATGAACTATTTCAAATGAAATACCCACCCACCAAAACGGGCCCTTCAACAGCAGCTTCTCAACCACGTTTTTTTGTGAGACCGCGCCCCGGAAGGTCAGTCTCTAAGTGAGGAGAAAGCTCTTGGAGGGGAGTGTTACGGTCACAAGTGAAGATAACAGCAGCGACACAGGGGCCATAGATTAGCTTCCTGGTGAGATGACAATAATACTGCGTTTCCTAACTACGGATTTCACTGTCGCCCGTCTGGTCACGGCCTAACGATTGCTGTCGGTAGATATGTTTGAAAGGGACTTGCCACGCTGAGCACGTCGGACGAAGCCCATGCGTGCGCCTTGAATGGACCATCAACAATTTTATTCGTTGGAACTACTACTAGTAAGTAGATAAAAATCTGTTGAGGTTTTGAGCTGATGCTTACCAAAGATACACTACGGGGAAAGTGACGTTCAGTTCTCTCCTGGGAATGACCTCTAGCCGGGAGTACTTTAAACTAAATGGTAGCTGAAGTGGAACGTGATCGTCGCTTGTCTCGCAAAGTCATGACTGCTCTTTGATCATGTGAATATGTGACTTAATCCTGGAACATCAGATGGCACATGTTGGGTCGTAGGCAGGTTACATGACTGTCTAGTGATCTCCAGCATTTGTGGCATTGGTGTCACCATTATGATGGATTTGCGCGTGACTGACCTAAGTGAATCGTGTGATTTGCTTCCAAAAGCCTGCCGCATGTCAGTCAAACCCTATAGTGACTAAATACATTGGGCTGAAATTGGCCACCAGATGCTTGTCGCATTGGACCACGTCTGTAGATTCTGCGTACATGGGGTTTGTGCTAAGCCGCATTTGTATTCAATGAAACGCTGTGAACCCGAGAGAATAAGGTCGGATGATGAACATGGGGCAGTTCTAAAGCCACCATGTTCAATTGCTGACCCGTGAGTGGTTTGTGCTAAGCCGCATTTGTATTCAATCAGACGGTGTAAACCCGAGAGAACAAGGTCGGATTATGAACATGGGGCAGTTCTAAAGTCCAGGTGCAAACAAACGAACAGCCGGGACCCAAAATGTATGCTAAAAAAAAAGGTCTGGTAGCCCGTACCAAGAAACACAAACGGCTGCCTAATGCTAGCCATTATTCAGCTTGGTTTGCACAACGACATTCAGCGAGTCACTTATTGCACTCGGAGTATTAAGGTTACTGAGTCAGGGATTTGCAGACACAGATGGAGGCGTCTAGAAGTTGAACTCATTTGGATCGGCTTCGAATTGACTTGAGCCTGCATTACTAATAAGACGAATCCAGAATGCACCCGCAGGGTGTTTTGTAGTTAACCATGGTGCAAAATGGTTCGATCCACACGATGAGAATCACCGAAAGTTACTTCTGGTGCGAAAACGGACTCAGCACATCGATACGTCAAGTGTGTTGATGAGTTTTTGTCGTTTTCCAATCCATCCGGCAAATATCGAAGGAAATCAATTCTAGCACGATCTATGCTTAGTTGTCTGATAGCCTGTGAAAGCTGAGGCAGATTCGGCAAACCTAGCTTATCCATCCACGTTTGGTTGACGGATAACGATGGTATATAGCCAGCCCTCAAAACGCAGCATATTTTGTCCCGTTTGTGGTTGTTTATGTTGTCTGTTCGTGACGAACCTGATTCTCTTCCTTAGTCCACAGATCCAGTCTACTCAACTTGTACGGAATCATTTGTATTCTCACAGTAGTACAACAACTGGGAACAGTTGGGGGAGGTCATTCTGATCATCCCGTTGTTGGAATCAAGGTTACCGACAGTTACCGAAACTTCGGCCAGCAAGGGTTTTTCAAACAAAACAAACAAACAATCTAGTCGACTTCGTTCGCACTGAGTTGAGTGATGACATTCCCAAAAAAGTTCATCTTTAGTAACAGTGTCAGACTGCCACATGCGGCCATATGAATTTATCAATCCACTATCATCCAAGTATGATGCCACTGGTCACCTGAGTAATTATCAAGAGAGAACTCCACTGTTACAAATCGTAAACTTTTGAAACTCGGCTTCACCTGAACCAGAGAAAAACTAAACATAAAAAGACCGCTAAGACGCACGAAACTAGAAGCTAAGGATTAAACAGTAACCTAAACAATATAGCAGACAAGAAGGGAATGTAATCACACGACGCCTTGAAGCATGTTAGCCTCGTATGTAAGACGCAACGATTATCTTTATCCGACGAAGCGAGCCAACCGAACGTTGAGTTTCTGCAACACACTAAGGGTATAATATAATCCAAGCGAGTCATGCGTCAAGTCATCGTGAGTCACTGGTTATCCTCCTGTTAGTTATCGCCTGCAAGGCCCATAGATGTATTCGATATCAGGCAAGTGTTCGTCAAACAAACGTTTAGTACTGGATCCTCAGTCACGCCAAGCATTGCTTCAGAATTCATGGTACCTTCCAGAAAAATGAAGTCTAAACATCAAGGTAATCGATTGTTTCTCACACCGATATCCTCTCGATACAAAGGTAGTCTTAAAGCCCACACATGAATGTGTTCTTGTAGTCGAGTGATACAACTATAACGCATAAAGTTAACAAAACAACCACCAAGTAATTGCGAGTCATACGAGAGAAAAGCCCTTTTTCTCTCGGTCGTATTGAGTGTGCGATGAACTACGGTTGTCTATCCGTGCGCGAGAATAGAAAACAACAGTTTACACTGAATCTTTGTTAATTCTCCCGAAGCTCTGCCATGGTGATAGACCAAGCAAAAGCAACGAAAACTCACAGGAGTTTCCCGGCCATCTATCCAAAATCATACAGCTGGCCGCCTAGTCACTGGGGGTGATTCCATAAACCACTAACGTATAGGGCGACGTTCACGTTATCCCTGGATGAGCAATGAGCTAGAATTGATTTATAGGGTCTTGCTCAAGTCCAAGGAGCAATAATAGACAGCTTTTAATGTTTTGGATGTCTTTTCGTCCTGCGGAGGAGTACACTGGCAATACTGATCAATATCCAAGACTCTGATGCTTACACTCGTAGCCTCTAGTTTCAACAAGTAGATAGGATATATTCCAGCAAAACGAGGCGGCTCAAAGTTTTAAACTCAATAAAAACTGTTTTTGCTACACGGTATTAGGGTTATCAACTTGCGGTTGAGAACCTCCTGAACGTGAGGCATACAAGATGCTATGGCTTCGTCTAACACAACGAAGGAAATTGCTTCGAAATATGCCAAAGCGGTGCATGAAGGCTTCGAGAGGAAAAGCTTTGAAACACCTCTGAAAAAGGCGAAAAATGAGGTGACACCTACGTTTTTACATTTCTCCGTGCAAGTTACTTTCTCCAAATACTATCTGTTTTGTAACCTACCTGTCTTCTACTGACAAAAATTACAACATCCGAGCAAACAGAATAGGAGACAACAAAAACGTGCACAATTAGATTTGACCCAGCCAGTACTTTTCACTGAGAATCAATGACTCTCAGCACACAAACTCCTTCTTATACTGCCAAGACAACCGATGCATGCGACAGTATCATCCAGAAACGCTGGACTGAATTGAACTACTGAAGTAGGTTCACGGCTGAACTCAAGCTCGACTGATCGCGAGTAGTGTAGTGAGTTAGTTGTGCAATGTCCATGAGGGTCACACTGAACTTGGAAATAAGGGGCCGCCGCAGACCAGGATGTGAAGAGTTTTTGAAAACGCAATCCAGTGCGCGTTCCGCTCCGATACCCACTCCCAGGATTCACACGATCGGTCAGGTGATAGTGGTTATAAATCTCCACTGTTGACCGCAACCGCACGCGCTCATTGCGCATACGGCGATAAAAGCCAAAATGATTTCGTGTGGAGTATTAAAAGTTGATGAGAAACACTAGTGAGGTCTATTCGAGAATATGGTGAAGTGACTGAGACAAGAAAACAAGGAAGCGGCTACTTGGTGTTACGACCGATTATATCACGTGACGGATCACCTGATATGCCCGATCAGGTAAAAAAACGTGTTGAAGATAGATTTTTAGGACCGAAAACATCCTGCCTTAATGATCACAGTCATCCTTAGATAGATAACTTCGAGTTCAAATCACTTTTTTGTACACATATTCAGGTGCACCCACAGGATTTTTCGACGCACCCACTGTACCCGGGTCGTTCGTTCTTTGTTTAGCTCATTCAAAGTTGACCAAGCCCATGACTCATAGGCGATTCATGGACATTTCCAGACATACCTGGAGTCATAAGAAATTACGCAAGGATTCATTGAGAGAGAGCATACAAACTACCAAAGATTATCCGGTCAGGCTGTTTGTCACTTGAAAACCACTGATTTAAGATACGTCAAAATAGCTCTACCTCGTATTGCTTCACACTTTCTTCAACTATAGAACCTCCTCTAAAGTGAACAGTGTCGGAACTTCACTTGATTCATTTTGCAGGAACGCATTTAAGTCTCTAGTTTGTTCTTGTGCGGAAATGATTGGCAATTTATCCTGGTTATATTCGACCAGTGAAACGAGCAAAACCAAGCGAAAGAAACTGTCAGACGATGCGCCGGAGCCGAAAGAGGTTGGTTGCAGACGGATTAACCAAACAAAGCAGGGATTTGGCTATCAAAAGCAAAAATACCAGAAGCCTAAGATTGATCAATTGAGCAACGGACCGTGCTTGAGACGTTTTTCAAGACGTGGCTCACCCACAGATATTGCCAACCAGTGAACAATGCTCAATATACCTAACGGATGGATCACCAGCATGGGGTGATAGCAACACCAGTGTTTCGGTGGTGTACGATCGTGCCACTTCATTTGTAAAGAGTAAGATAGCGAAGGAAAAGAGGCAAGTGGTGGCCTACTGCAAGCATTCGGGATGCCTCGAACCCCAAAACTCAGCCAGAGAGTCCGGGTGAAAACCGTCAAGACGAAAGCCGATGGCTCAAGTTCACTGCAGCGTCTCCAGACAAACATAGAATATTCATTTGAACCCCGGCCTTGAAGGGGAATCACAGTGCACAGGTTCTTCCTGTACCTACCACATATCCTTCCGACAAGTCATCTGTCGCTGGACACGTTTTACTGGACTCTGAATTCGACCTGGAAAAATATTCCTCTCAGTGAACGATGAGTAGCATATGGTTAAGTTTGTGGTGCTGTACAAAATCCTACAGTTTTTGTCGCACCGCAAAAGTCTATTTGATAGGCACACCGCCGATTCTTTGGCAGCAGCCTATACCACTGGTCGTTCCGAGATATCGGTAAAGGCCTGAAGGTCAATCACAGACAACGGAGATCGACTCCTTCAGCTGTGTGCTGATCACGAACTGTTTCTGGCAAGTACGAACTTTCAACATAAACGTTCGCACCGCGTTACCTGGCGACCGCCATCCGTGGACCCAGTTGGACCACGTGGCCATCAGCCACCGGTGGAGAGCCACAATTAAGACTGCCGTTCTTTCTGGGGCACACCACTTGATTCCGATCACGCCGTGGTGCGCGCACGCTTGATAGTTCGTTTCCCTTCAGACCACTGGGCAACACAGCCCAAAAGGTTAGAGCACGAATTTACTGACCGGAAGGTCCGTGGTTCGAATCCGACCTCCGCCACTCGACTTCCCCTGTCTAGGCTTGGGCAACCTGGCAGTATCCCAGCCCTCGTGCTTCCTTCGGGTGGCATGGCAGCCAGGCACCGGAAGGGTGCTACAGCTGAACGCTTTCTTTCTTTTCTTTCAATCACATATCCCGCCTGGAAAGTCGTGTCTCGCAACGGCATGATAATATAGCTCACAGAGAAGTGGGCAACGCAACTCCTAAGACCTAATGATACACCTTTCAGGAGACCAGTGTAAATTAGATGAGGCGAAGGTGAACGAGCTAACAAGTGAGAGACACTCAACCCGAAAAAAATATTCTGCCTAATAATTAATGGTTTGGCCTCGGATGAAACAGTTATCCGTTACCTCAGTTGTGTTTTAAAAGCAACGCGCTGAAACCAGATCTCATATTTGCAGCAATATCAAATGGTGACCGACATGACCAAACAAACACTAGAATAATCTTAACCAAGAGCGACCATCACGGATAAAAGGTATCTGGCCTATTCTAGGTATGTGGCATATACTAATCATATTAATTCAACGCCAACTTGGTACAAAGCTGGAAAAAACTGATTTCTTTGAATCTTACCAAGCAATCCAGCTGAGACCTTTGCTTGCTAAAGGCTTTTGAGTAATTCATCACTATAGACGAAAACCTATCTGCCCCAGATTCAGTAGCAAGTCAGTGAGATGTGCCCACTGACGGTGAAAATGTTTGAACAGCCACAGTGACCAAACACTTCAAACTCACCTCAACCCATTTTGGACCTACTTTTGACGGGAAGATAGGCCGTCTTATTGTTACTCACTATCAGGTGAGAGACTCGGCTCCATGAATTTCAGTCGTTTGTTTCACTAACTTGCAGAGTAGGTGGGTACTTAATCCGCCTCACCGAATAACAGCTAGTTGTTCTCATAAGGTACAGCGCTGGTCTGAGGTCGATTTGAGGCGTGCTTGGTGTTAGCCCAGTGAAGTGTCTTCAAAATTGCCTATCGAAATTCACTAATGCACCAGCGCGTTAGCCACCTGAATCCAGTCTACCACAAATGAACAACAAACAATATTGGGTAGAAAAAGCCATCACTTGGTAATGCCGTGTCACTTTGGGAGGGGGTTATCCATTAAGAAGCTTCACTAAACTATAACAATTAACTGATTAGAACTCCACAGATAAATTACCGTCCGTTGTCTTATCCTGTTTTCTGGCTTCGACGGGAAGCTTACGCTAAATCATGACTGACGGGGAAAGCTAGCATGGTCCCTAGTGGAGTAATCCCTCTTGGGAGAGACTTCCTCTGGATCACCAATGTAGTATGGAACACCCCCCCCCCTCGGGACAACGCGCCGCTCCACAAGAGAGCACTAAAAACATTCTTTATGGTGTCCTGTCATGATGGCATCGCTATGGTGAACCCTCGCCAGGCCAAATGCCAAAATGGGCCTGGTTAAGTTCGGGGGCGGTGTGCTAGAAACGGTCGCGAAATGTGTCATTTTCGCGTGACAATCGACTGGTGAATTTAGGCAAAATGCCCAGGTTTTTGCCCTTACGGTGTTCCTTCTAAAAAGTCCAACGGCTTTGGGACCAGAAAATAGCCATGGCATACTTCTGGAGTTGGTTTCCGCAGGATCCTTGCAAGTGGAGAATATTGCACGGAATGTGTTTCCCTATGTTGTACTTAAATGAACGGACGATAACCAAAGTAGTTCAATTAAGTCATCATCCTTAACAGATGGGACGATTCACCCTGATTGCTGAATGGCTGCATTGAGTTAGCCGGGACCAAAAAGTATGCTTACTTAAGGATCGCTATGGCATCTTCGACCGTCCTGGCCTCCGCACCGTCTACTTCAACACGATTCGGATTTGGCGCGAGTTCTTGTTCTGACTGTTCTTGATTCTTCTTATTCAAAGCCGCAAGCTGCGCAGCAAGATTAGCTCGAGCCGCTGCTATCTGAGCCTGAGTCAACTTGTTCGACTGCGTTGCTTTACCCGAGGCACCCTTGATATTTTTTGCATTTGCCATCTCTTCTTCATATATCCGCTTTAGTTCCTTTTTTCGGTCTAGTTCTTCTTGCCGTTTGTCATCCCTCTCATCCTACGTAAGAGCACGAGTGTTTACGAAACCGGACATTAGCAAACCTTTCGTTGTATCTTCCTAATTGCGTGTTTGTCATCCTCTTTCCAGTAGGCTTCCTCCGCTTCGCGTTCCTTTTTTAGCTGTTCTTCCTTCTTTTTGGCGGCACGACGTTCACGTGCTTCAACAGCTTTAGGGCAGGTTCCCAACTTCTTTGGCATAGAATAATTTGATGAAGGGGGGCCTCAAAATGCGATAGGATGGAAGTTGGCTGAGGAGGATAAAAAGATGGAGAAGGGACATGAACCCAATGGGGTAAGTAAAAAAACCCGACCTACAGCTGCCACCTTGACGTGGTGGTCGGGCTTGAGTGCTGCAACGATCCCGCGGGCTACACTGGCTGGAACTTCGTTTCACAAGGTGCAACCATGCCAGGAAGGCCAAAGGAGAGCAGCCAGACCAAGAGCAGCGAGACCCCGCACTACGAGTAATCGTGGTACGAGGTTGTCTGGGGGTAAAGTCGTACTGTCCTCTGCGACAGGAGTGGGAAGGCAGTAAGGTGTTTCCCCAGGCGACCAGCATGTCCATATTTATGGAAGCAGCGATGCTTCCCCCAAGGAAGGACGGGTTAGAAAAGGTCGGCCCCAAAAACCGCACACTCCGATCGCCCAACGGTTGACCGTGACCGCCGGCGCATTATCCAACATGGTCGAAATACTTTTAAGACCAAAGAGCCCGGTGCTGCTCAAAAGGCACCTGCTGTGCGCAGCCGCATCAGGAATGAGACAGTAATTCCTTATTCCCTGCATCCTCAGGTTAGGCCAACCCCCTGCAGCCGAGCAGGTCAGACTGTTGAGTCGTCGGCTCCGGGTAGGGTCCCCAAAGAAAACCCTACAT